ATAAAGCAAGTATGGAATAAGGGAAAAACATTCGGCAACATCAGAAGCAGAAGCGTCACGATCTGGCAACATTGAAACAAGTTTCGAGAAGGACCATGGTGTATCGACAGAAGGCGAGAAGAGAAAATTTACATACTTAAGTACTAATAGTTCACGAAAATAATAATTTTCGTGAACTATTATTACTTAAGTATGTAAAAATTTATTACATTTCCTTTTGTACGAGGGTTTTACCCAATTCTCGAACCGTGTCAGAGTGAATCCGTGCTATAAAAGTATCGTGTTATACGGGGGATGGTGCCAATTCTCGAACCGCGTTAGAGCGAATCCGTGCTATAGAAGTTCCGTGTTATACGGGGGTTACCTGTATATAAAATGCTGAATCTGATTAGTGGTTTTTGGTCTTTAACCAAAAACCACTAATAAAACTCAGTTCACAAAAAGCATAAAATTTATTGTTGAAGTAATAATACATATGAATACATTGTCTTCAGTAGCTTCTGTGTTATATTTTTAAAGATAGAACCAGCATAGCTCCTAATACAGTCAAACCTTGGTTTTTGAACTAAAAGTTGTTCTAAAACTGAAACAAATTTTCCCATAAGAAACAATATAAAATGGATTAATCCATTACTGACCCCGAAATAAAGCCTTTTTTTTTTTACCTTTTTAGCTGTATTTTGTGAATAAAAAATGTCTACAAATGCAATGTAATATAATAAATTTTTATTGTTGGATTTTGACTTAATCACTTTTAAACTCTAATTCTTAGATGCCATATATATTACACGAATGTCAATTAATGCAGTTTTTATTAATTAATTTGATTTAAATCAACTGTGGCATGTACCAAAACATGGAAGTAGTATCTTTCCCACATGCATGTTGAAATCTAATTTTAATAGCATTTGTCGATGATTTGTGTTGTAACACCTAATGATGTGAAGCTATCTTGGCACTGCAAACTTCTGGATCAGTAGTCCCATCATTGATTGGTCAGGCCATCGACTTTCTTTAACATTGGAAGTTGACCATCTGTCTCTCTAATCAGTGGCGGGCTCTTGTTGAGTAGCATGTTCAACAACCAAGTTATCTTACAACTGGTACTGTACAATTATGAGTTTGAAATTCTGTTCATGAACCGATTTGTTCAAAAAGTGAGCCATTTGAAACCAAGATTTGACTGTGTTTGAGTCTAATAATAATCTCAACATTTACTAATCATACATACTAGTACAGTACATGCATATTATAATCCAAAAAGGGTAAGGAGACTACAATTTTACAAATCAGCTATTCAGCAACTTTCTCCACATCTTCCTGTCCAGATGGACCTCTTGCTCCAGATACCATTCATGCCTCTTCTAGCATACTTTTTCACATTCTCTTTCTGACTCAGCCTGTTATATTCTTTCAGATACTCATCCAACATTTACTAATCAGTGTTATTTATTTCTAAGGAATATGATGTGGCGGTCGAATAATTGTAACCTAGAGCTGCATCTGAAAATCCAGATAGAACTATAAAAACGTGTGCAGTCTGTCTGCCATATTCCTTTTTTTTCTCTCTCAGCCACGCTACTCACGACAAGTGAATGTTCTGTACCGACGCATGCTTGTAACCGATTGAGCTTTACTTAATAAGTGTAAAACAAAATCTAGTACATAATTGTAAATAAATTTACATGGTGAGATGTAAAGCTTCGGCTATTTTATATAATCAACGAACACTCAAGTGGTGCATCAACCACCACAGAATATTTAAAATTTTAAGGAATAAAGCGTTTTAATTAAAAGAAATTTGTATATATTTTAGAAGAAAGTCAATGGGAACGTACACCGCTTGAAGATATCAATACTGCCATAATAATAAGGAGTATCGAATTGGGTAGAAAATATGAAATGAGAGTGGTAACTGTTGAAGATAACTTTGAAGTGCCAAGTAAAATAAAAGTAGTAGATACGTCTGATTTACGTAAGTTAAAAGTTTGGCCAAGACTATGGCAATTAAACATTTTCTATTGCATTATATTTTCTTAAAATCAATAAAATAACATGCTTGTTTACATTTTTACTTCTTTTATTTAGCAATCATTGCTCCAATCTATGAAGATACAGTAATTAATGTAGCTTGGTTCATTGGATTGATGTGTCTCATTCCTGTAATGGCATTGTGGTTATCATTGTTAATTTTTATATGTTTCAAAAATCTCGGAGGAGGAAAATATTCCATTAAAGAAAAAGAAGCTTCTCAAGGTCACAATCTCAGTTTTGTGGAGAATAACGGTTTTACTGAATACAGTCAGTCGTAAGTATATTAAGCAACATACTGTTTTAAAGACATTTTATAGAAGAAACTGATTCATTTAAATCTGCATTTTACATTTAATAATTACTTACTGATTTGGCTCTATCCATTTATATTTCTGAAGGGGGAACAACCAAGTTGCCTCTAAGGGAAGCAAAGTGTCATTAAGCGATAGTATAAAAGATATGGAAAGTGATACAGACAGTATGGCAGGTTATGCAGAAGGAGAAACTGGACAGTTTAAAGAAGATGGTTCTTTTATAGGCCAATATCGACCCAAAAAGAAGGAAAATGAAACGTCATCATCAATGCAAGCAACTTATGTATGATTTTAATAATCTGTTAAGGATTTTGTCCCATTCACTTCTTATTTTATTATTATAAAATTTTACTTATTCGGAATAATTAAATTTTGGTTTTGTAGATGTGGCAACTGTAGTCCTGGTTTGTTATGTCAGACAATACAACTGGATCTTCATAAACACATTTATTACTTAATATAAATAGCAAATTTAACATACACTCCACAAAAGTGAAATTGTAACACCATGAAGAAATGTGCATGGTAGAGGTGACAGAGATATGCAAATGATTAAAACAACAAACAAAGATATATGACAAACAGACATTTATTCAATAACAAATATGACCTTATGATATTGCCTTAGGAGGGAACGCAAGGCAACAAGTAAACAAGATGGCAGAAGCAAAGGGGTAATTACATATATACAAAAATCAGAGTTTTATTTAACACTGATTATTGCCAAGTTTTAGTATTTATTAACATTATGAATATATGAAATACTCTTTTACTTAAATAATGAAGACTACATACAATATAAAATCCAGCAACGAGTTGGTTAATAAAAAGTTGATTTGATTTATATTTTAAACAATGCCCAAATTTAAAAGAGGAGCAGCTCTTGCCAGTTCTGAATTTTCTTTTGAATATTAAAGTTGATATCGTCGACAATATTGTTATTTGCCAAAATTGCTCTCTGAAATAGCCACTCCAAATAATAATAAGCGCAGAGCCCAAACGGTTAGGAGTTGAAGGTTGCAATTTAGTACACAGTTTGGATGCGTCATGAGAACATACACTAAGTAGGAATTTTTCGAAATTCCCCCCCGCGAGAGAGAGAAACAGGATTAAGGCTTCCCATGAAGAACACAGCTTCTATTATACTATTTTAGATGCGGTTTTTTTGCGTTTTTGATTACGTTTTAATAGGGTACGTCACGAGAATGTACACTAAGAAGGGCTTTTTCGAAATTCCCCCCGCGGGGAGAGGTTGTTAACACTTCCCCGCCGGGAAAGGCAATGGAAGTGGTTAAGCAACAATTGAAGTGTTAAGAGAAAGCGACATGCAAGATTTACAGGCGCAGATGCGGTTTTTTGCGTTTTTGCGAGAAATCGAACATATTTTTAGACCCATCTAAAAATTTTCTAATTAGTCAAGAAACAGGGCAACCTAATTCTTCCATTCTGAGAAAACGGGTAAGATTAGCTATAATGTAATAATTTTAATCTTCACTATCGTTACTTTTTGCCTAAGTAACGCCGGACTTATCAGCTAGTAACGAATAAAATCGTCATTAAGTTTGACCCTACTCGAGATATGACACACGACCGCATATATCTCCCCACTCATTCGACCTTAATCCACCAAAATATAATAGCATCGATCCGCCTTAATACACACACACCCTTCCAAAATTTGAAAAATTTTTGGAGAAAGCCGTGAGAGTTATTAATCTTCAAATGGGGTGAACAAAATCGCGTTCCATACACACACACTCTAACCTCCACACATTTATCGATCTTTCAAGGTCCCGAGTCCAAAAATGTAAAAATCTTGAGGAACAGTCATTTTTTTAACCGATCGCCATACTTTCTTCTTGTTATATACGAGCAATTATTTATTGTTACATGTTACAATACCAGGCTGAAAATTTTAATTAGGGTTTCTCATCTCCTGGTCTTTTGCTTGTCCCGGGATTCCGGGAAATCCCGGGAATGTTTCTATTAAAGCAGTCGAGGTAGACAAATCAAGAATACTAAAGAGCAAAAGAAGTACTACAATCTCGAAAACGAACTAGAAATCTTTCAGGATACATGTGAAAAAACACATATCTGTCTTCTCTTAAATGCATTAAACACGATTCCACTCGCATCAATTGAATCGAAAAGGGCATTCTCGGTAGCAAGACTTTTTATTACTAAAATAAAAATTAGTTTGAGTGATCGGAGTATTGACCATTTTTGCTTTTTAAAATCTTATAAAAATTTACAATATTTTGTATTATATTTTATTTAAAAAACGAAAATTATATTTTAAGTTAGAAGTTTAATCCAAGTTAATTTTTTTTAAATTTTTAACTCAATTCAAAGCATTTTTTTTGGGGGTTGTTGTTGTATGCAGTTTCCAGCAAACTTTAACAATTTTTTTCTATTTGTGACAATTTCTACGTAATTCAAAGGTAATTTTTAATATGTATCTTACACGTCATTATTAATATGATTAATTTTGTCCCGGGATTTCCCGCTAACTTAGAATATAATTTTCGTTTTTTAAATAAAATATAATACAAAATATTGTAAATTTTTTAAAAGATTTTAAAAAGCAAAGATGGTCAATACTCCGATCACTCAATCTAATTTTTATTTTAGTAATGAAAAGTCTTGCTACCGAGAATGCCCTTTTCGATTCAATTGATACGAGTAGAATCGTGTTTAATGCATTTAAGAGAAGATAAATATTATGCGTTTTTCACCTGTATCCTGAAAGATTTCTAGTTCGTTTTCGAGATTGTAGTACTTCTTTTGCTCTTTAGTATTCTTGATTTGTCTACCTCGACTGCTTTAATAGAAACATCATAGCTCAATAATTCGGCAGTTCGTTTGTCTTTAATAATCAGGTTATGAAGAAAAACTTCATACTCGCGGACTTCGTACTCGTTTGTGTCCTTGCCCAATTTGCACAACCTGGCGTTACGCAGTTATCGAAGCTACTTGGCATGTTTAAAAATTAAGACAGCATAAGCACAATTATTCCAGATATTACAGGTAAAGAATTTTGAGCGTCCTGCCACGAATAAGCTACGTGTTGATTATTGACCATTTGTGACATGACATAACGAGCAAAAATTTAAAAAAATCTAATAAGTAGGTTTAAAATTAATAAATACAAATGTATTCTGACAGTTTATGAGCTAATTATACTTTCTATTTGCAAAATTTCCTCAACCTTAAGACAAAATAAGAAAAAAGTGAACTTTTAAGAAATTTGCGAGATTTCCCGGGATAAGAAAAATTTCCCAGGATATTTTTGGGGTTAAAAAAACAACCGGAATCCCGTTTGAGAAACTTTAATTTAAATGAATTTAAAATATGTGCTTTCCACACCCCAAATTAGTAGTGGCTTGCCTTTGTACTTCATACTTTTCCTTTAACAATTAGAGTCGTGCCAGTCTTCTGTATAACCCTTTCAGGTAAAAAAGTTTGGAAATGAAATTACGTGACTTTCGATTCTCATCGGTAGTTTTTTAATAATTAATCTGCGTTTCACGCCCCTATCGCGTTCAATGATGGTCTCGACTTTCATTTATCTTCTTTCTCGAGATTAAGAAAAGACGAACGGACAGCTGACAGGATGACAGTGGGAATTTATAAGTCTACAATTTTTCAAATTGCAGTATTTAAGAGTAAACAAAATAGTTGGAAAGCAAGTTTTTCAATGGACATTAACATTGAATATAATTTCGTATTATACAAAATTTAAACAGCTCAATTTAGAACAACTTCTCAAAATGTCTTTTTTGAATGCAAACATTTACTACATACAAATACAATTGAAGGCCAATAATATTCACTTATTAAAACAAGTTAAATTTTCATTATTTAAAATAAAGCTTCAGTTTGTACGTGTGATGTGCGTGTACTAAAATATTAACAAATACCATTTCCCTACACCTGTATAAAATTAATATTCATGAAGTTATCATATATAAATGCATTGCAAAACAGGAAGTTAATTTCAACTGGAGTTAGATACTGAGAACACAAGGTAACCTCTCATCTTGAAGTTTACATTTTTCTTTTTATGTTGACAAAGTTTAGTTAAAAATATTGATATTCTCGTGGGTGGATGTCAGATTTTTCTTTTCAGTTTTCCTGTCTAATTCCTTTAGTATTCGTATTTTTAAAAATATTAGTAAAATTACAATACTCGACATAAATGTAAACACTATCACAGAGTAGGTTTGTTAAATAGCTGCTACTTAACAAACCTATTAATTTAATTACAATTAATTTTCAATTGTGCAATTAATATATCTAAATATATAAAATTACTTGTTTTGACTGATTGACTGATTTATTATCGGCCAGGACAAACCGCTGAACATAAAAACATGAGATTTGGTACAAAATTAGAGTACATCATGGAAATGCACACTAAGAAGGGATTTTTCGAAATACCCCTGCGAGGGGAGAGAGAGAGAGAGAGCATTAAGGCTTAACCGGAAGAACGGCTTCTACTGTACTATTTTGGATGCGATTTTTTGTTTTTAACTGCGTTTTAGTAGGGTACACCATGGGAATGCACACTAAGGAGGGATTTTTCGAAATTCCCCCGCGGGGAGAGAGGGAGATGATTAACCTGATTACGGCTTCTACTTTACTGTTTTTGATGCGATTTTTTGTTTATAACTATGTTTAGTCTTCATTGAGTACTTATGTGAGATAAGCACATAAGTCAGGGGTTAATCTGGCACTGACCACTTAATCTGCACAGGCTGGTAAAGCCCGATCTCGGAGTCGTTCGGATGGCTAGGAGGGCAAATCGAGTGGGGAGTGCGTCGGTAAGTCGACAGGTTTCCTTGGATAGACAGGAGACAGGTTTAACAAATAAAATAAATGTTTATTCTCTAACTAAAGTAATTTACAGAAGTATACAAGTTACGGATTATGCCTAGATGCGGAAATATAAATATATCTATAATCGCTCTAACTATTCACTATGCCTCGTGAGAGAGTTTATAAAGGCTCTAGAGTGAGTGTTATATTGGCAGTCAATTATACCTTATGTTGGAGGACGGTATGCGACGATCATCCTGGACTATGGAAGCTGGCTGTCTGTCACAGACTTATATCTTCTACCGGCTTCTCCTTGGACAGGATCGGGACGGGAGACACTGTATTCAGACCTTCCAGATGATCGCTCGGAGGGACGGTCGCACTGAGGGGACGATCGTTTTTATACGATCGTCGTTGGCACTGAGCCAACAGGTCGTTCACTCATTATGCTGACTAATTATCACGCGCACGTTGACTAATTAACAAACGGACGATGTGTAAGATCCGCCATCCGATCTATTTCCGTTATAACGTGTGATAATTTTTTTCATCCTCTAATGTAAAAATATGTTATACTCAAAAATTTACGCCTTGTAAACCCTCGGGCTCACACTTAGGTGTATTAAATTGATAACATTTCAGACATTGTTATAAATAATTTTATATATTTCGATTTTTTAACCAAATGTTCGAACCGTTTTATATTCGAATTTGTTATTGCATATTGGTTCGATTATAGAACGACTAGCTGTTACACGTGACTCTGCCCGCAAGGATTTTGCAAGCAAACCGCATTTATATTCAGTATTTCAACAACCATAGTAATTGTTATATAATATCTCCCGCTGAGAATTATGAGAATTACTGAGAATAAAACGAATTGTTTTCAATTTGATCAATTTTCTGGAACGTTTACAATCGTTCTATAATCGAACCAATATGCAATAAAAAATTCGAATTTAAAACGGTTCGAACATTTGGTTAAAAAATCGAAATATATAAAANGTTTTAAATTCGAATTTGTTATTGCGTATTGGTTCGATTATAGAACGATTGTAAACGTTTCAGAAAATTGATCAAATTGAAAATAGTTCGTTTGATTTTCGGCAATTCTCTTCAGCGGTAGGTGTTATATAACAATTACTATGGTTATTGAAATATTGGATGTAAATGGGGTTTGCTTGCAAAACCTCCGCTGACGAAGTCGCGGGTAACAGCTAGTTTTATATATTTAGATTGTAAACGTTCCAGAAAATTGATTAATTGAAAACAGTTCGTTTTATTCTCAGTAATTCTCATCATTCTCAGCGGTAGGTGGCAATTTTGTGTTTAACTGTTGTGTATGTGTGTATACTGTTGTGTTGTGTATGTGTGTAGCCCGTCTCCCCATCGTCTGTAACCAAAACGAACGAGGGTGAAATAAAAGCGGAAACACCAGTAGAAGTAAAAACAAACATCGGCGCGTATCTAGGACTATAACCTTGAACGGGAGCGAAGATGAAACACGACACTTTGTAATTTATGCTAATTACCTTCTAATATTAAAAAATTAAAATCATCAACAAAATTATAACAAAATTAAAGTTTTTCACTAAATTCGACTACGAACATATCGTAAAACTGGATTAAAGTAAAAATACCCGTTTTTTCGACGCTAAATTTTTATTAATTAATTTTCTAATTTGGTGCCTAATTGACCGAGCGCGCGTAATTTCTATTTGACGGAGCACGCGCGTGCCAACGGGTTAACTTAAATAACGGCCGTTATAGGCATTCCGTTACAGATTACAGATATAGAAACACGCGATCAATGGCTTATATTATTACATTCCTTCTTCTCCATTAGAACATTGTTTGTGTAATTGTGTTAGAGCACAAGTGCGACTCCTTGCACCACAAGTGGCACCATTAATTTTCGCTACTTAACAATCGCAATTAAGAAAAAAATTAACAGTTTCATAATTGAAATTACAGTAGTTAAGAGCCTCAGCTAGCCTCTAACAAACCATTTATGAAATATTATTTACAAATCTTCCCCACACGGATTCGTTCCCCTGTGGTAGACTGAGAATTTAATTGTTTAGACATCTTCCCTTTCCGCTTTGCCATCTGGCTGTCTAAATATCAGTGTAAACGCGATTATGGACACTGCCTTTTTGACATGTTAAAAATGCTAGTAACATACTTTATTTACCATTAATGTTAAAATATTAACAATAATAATATACAGAACATAACACATCTATAGAGAAACCATATAAACGTAATAATTTTTTCGTACTCCAGTTGCTTGTAAGAATCATCTATATAAAAAATATACTTGAATACAAGCTTTTCGGATTCTTGCAGTTCATGGACAGTTTTCAGAAGTGTAATGTCAAGCTAATAGTTCTTTAATCGCTTAAAACGTATTGCTTCAGATATGTTCTTACCAATATGTGCACGAAGAAAGTTAGGAAGAAAACTCAATAAAATACTCAGAAGTTCGTGTTTCCAATGCCCTGTTGTGTAGTTGTGGATTCCAATTGTATTCACGGCGCTTTTACTAAATTCATCACTAGAAAATATAAAGTATCTTAGTGGTCCAAGATATTTTTCAAAAGATTTTATCATATTGGTCGAGACGTAATAAGGAACAAGTGATTGAACGTGAACGTCGTGTTTTCTGAATTCCCAAGAAATTGCTCTGCCGAAGTGGTCTGAAAATGCTTTGCATGATGCATAAACACTCATTAATGATTCGGGATATTTCGAAGATGCGGACGATACAATAACTACAGCACCACTCTGTTTTGCTAACATCGACCGAATAACTAAATCAACCATTTTTACTACGGCTCGAATGTGTAATTGTATCATGGCAATTACGTTTTCGTGGGTTTCTTCGAGAAAATAACACGGAGCATTACCAATAATACCAGCAGAAATAACCAGAATACCGACGTTTCTGTCCTCTAGTTGTTGCTTTAACTTGGTGTAAATGTTTTCGTTTTCAGTAAAATCAATTTGTAGGTACTCACATTGAACTCGGTAATTGTCTTGGATTTCTTTCTTGGTCTGTTTCAAAGTATCCAACTTTCTGCCAACGATGAGGACGTTCATTCCGCGTTGAGCCAGTTGCAAAGCGTAAGATTTTCCAATTCCCGAATTTCCACCGGTCACAACGGTCCATTCTCCATAATTTTTCAAATCAACAGCATAATATTTAGAAAGAGAAAAAATTACGAACAAACGTAATAATCGAAAAAGTTTATACAGTAAAATAAATGATGCTAAAATCCCAATCGATATTAAAATCATTTCGTATATCTGAACGAATTTATTAGTATCCATCACTACTATACTTTCTAACTATTATCGCAGAACTTCGAAATCAGAGTACTGTACGTGTATGATATAAAAGTAATGTTTATATTGGTTGTATCGCCCTACGGCTCCAACCAGGTTTCGTCACTGACCTTCGACGCTTCGTTATTTTAGACTAATAATACTGGAACCGTATTCTGGTCATCGTCTCTCGTCTGTTGTCTCTCACAAGCCGATCTCTGATTGGTTAATCATTTGTTTACGTCTTGAGAGATCATCTCGTCTCTCTAATCGCGATTCTGTTTCCGTTTTCCATAATTTTTCAAATCAACAGCATAATATTTAGAAAGAGAAAAAATTACGAACAAACGTAATAATCGAAAAAGTTTATACAGAAAAAAAAAATGATGCTAAAATCCCAATCGAAATTAAAATCATCTCCAATACATGTACGAATTTATCAGTATCCATAGCTACCATGATACCTTACTATTTTCTCAAAACTTTGGAATGAGTACACGTATATTATGTTGTATACAAATGAATTTGACATTAAATAATTATAAGCAGCAGCACCCACGAATCGTGACACCGCGATTAACTTATTCCTGGTATCGTTAATTACACGTAATTGTCAATATGGAAGCAAATATCCATTACTGGGCAAAAATTTTGACTGGTTTTTCTATTACAAATTTTATAATAAATAAACTATTTACAATATTATTTATGCATTATAAAAAAGTTATTAATTTGTAAGTAAACAAGAATGTTATTTTCTTAATTGAATTTTTAATGTCTTTTTAGGGGCGCGTATTCCCTTGGATTCACACGGTTACGTCATTGTAAACGCTTGCGTAATTTAGATTTTTAATTAGGTTTCCAGATAAGCTATAATGTGCCAGTTATTTTCTTTGTTTTACCACAAACAGGAAAACAAATAAGCTAAACAATAGAAACTAAAAAAAACTATTATCTATTTTCTAGGCTTTCTGTATTAGAAGAAAAAATTTTTACATACAGTATTTTTAATAATAAATTGTTCATAAATATTACAATCGCTAATTAACAGAAAATATGTACTCGCCTTATTAACTTTAAAAGTTATTTATTTATTAATTAATCATTAAAAGTAAAAACAAAGGGTTTATGTCTAGTCAAATATTATCGTCTGAGAATCATCCTCGATAAACCAACTCTCTAAACAAATGGTTCTGCCTGTTACCGGTGAGGGCCTACAAACGCTTTTCAAGATTCGGCTATCTGGTTCATAATCAAAAAATTTGTGGGGTTTTTCGACCCTTTCAAATTCGATCCCGGTACTCCCAGTGTGGTAAGGTGCAACTTCACCGTTCGACAATACGGACGTATTCGCGAGTGGATAGGCACACGTCTCTCTGACACAGCGTTGGCAATTTGCCACTCTAGCTAGATCGAAGCAAATCTTCCAGGAAATATTTTAAGACCCAAGGCCAGTGAGGTGTGGATTTGCGGTAAGTGAGTGATTAAATAAAAAATCCAGCAACTAGTTGCTTAATTTTCTTCGTAACATTTAAAACTGCCTTTTGCGCCAACATTTTATTAAATAAAATTTTAATATTGATTTAATAATTAATTGAGCTGAGCTCTTCATTAGAAGAAATACTTTATTGTCAGAGAAGTTTAATGCAAAAACACAACTAGTAAACATCAAGGTCTATGTAAGAAGGTCAGGACACGCTCCCGTGATTCTATGCGGCAGCGGCCATTTTGGGACTCATCGATAGAGCTTAACATACGTGGTTCCTGCGTGAGTCAACTATTATTACTTATATACGTATTCAAAACGTTAAGCAATGGGTTATTGTGTTGCACCTAATTGTAAAAACAAGTCTACCGACGTTCGATTGTTCAGATTTCCTGCAGATAAGCAGAGGAGAGTGAAATGGGTGCAGAACTGCAGACGGGATAAGTTGCAGCCAACTGAACATTCTAAACTGTGTGAGGTTAGTGTATATCATGTATTTTTCTATAGTTACTGTCTTGAAATGTATACGTGAGCTCACATTAAATTATTTATTGTTCAGCTTCATTTCGAAGAATCGCAGTTTGNAGAGGCAGGGTATTGAACGGTGACCAAAGGCAAAATTGGAGCTGATAAGAGGAAACATTGCGTTTAATGGTTTCCAGATGATGAGAACAATGTACAGTAAGGGCACAAAGTGTGAGATTCATAGAAAAGTTTTCCTAAGAATATTTCCAATCCTTTTCTCACACAAGAGAAAATGGGTTAGGGGGCGTTTGGTATAACTTTATGGAACAAAGGGGGCGGTGGATCGAAAAAGTTTGAGAATCACTGGTCTAAACAAACAACTCTGCCTGTTACCGGTGAGGGCGCTACGAACGCTTTTCAAGATTCGGCTATCTGGTTCATAATCAAAAAATTTGTGGGGTTTTTCGACTCTTAAATTCGATTCCAGTACCCCCAGTGTGGTAAAATGCAACTTCACCGTTCGACAATACGGACGTATTCGCGAGTGGATAGGCACACGTCTCTCTGACACAGCGTTGGCAATTTGCCACTCTAGCTAGATCGAAGCAAATCTTTCAGGAAATATTTTAAGACCCAAGGCCAATTAGATGTGGATTCGCGGTAAGTGAGTGATTAAATAAAAAATCCAGCAACGAGTTGCTTAATTTTCCTCGTAACATTTAAAACTGCCTTTTGCGCCAACATTTTATTAAATAAAATTTTAATGTTGATTTAATAATTAATTGAGCGGAGCTCTTCATTAGAAGAAATACTTTTTTGTGAGAGAAGTTTAATGAAAAAACGCAACTAGTAAACATGATTTTTTGCAAATATGTACAAATGTACAACTTAGTCTTCAACCCGATGTCTTTATAAAGCCATAATTTTGAATTTCCATCTACGAGCTGAGATATTCGAGGTCAAAATTCATCACGACAATTTAAATTGGAACCGTTAAAACTGTTGATATTCCGAATTAGATCATTAATACTGAAAAAATAGCGGTCAGAATACGGAATTTATGTACATCGTCACCGAGTACATTAACACCTGCAGGTACACCACTATCAATTAATACAATTCAGAAAATTAGTCGCAGCAAAGATGCAGTAAATGTATTCATTTCAATAACAAAATAAAATAAAAACGAGTATAGTAATTCCTCTAAGAGAAAGTCAAATTTTTCAGACAACTGTACGAAAACATTTAACGAAAAACAATTGTGCATTTAATACATACAGTATTGACCTATACTGTAGATTTGTCTGAAAATGGGCAAGTCTTGTGGAAACGTACAAATAAATTAAAGATAGACATTATCAATGTAGAAAAGTATGGGAATTACTTGACAGTATGGATGACAGTTTTGCTTAAATATTTAACGTTTCCTCATCCCTGACCAAGATATTATCACCGTTCACATCTACAATTAGTAACGAAAAAAACGAAGAGAAAAAGGTCTGTTTGACCATTTAAGTGATTTGAAGACTACGCGAAGGGAAAAATTGAGAAAACATTTAATGAAATAAAGAATTTATTACAAAAATTTGAAATATTTCAGGAAATGAATAACGCGTTAAAAATTTTTCTTTAAATCCAATAGCAAATTGTTTAACATTCCTAGCAACCGGGCCTGTGAAGTCGGAGTCGTGGAGTTTTGGTGTTTTAGCCGGAATCGGAGTCGGAGTAGCAGTCGGAGTCGTCAAAAAATCTGCCGACTCCGACTCCTTTTTACTTTGCAACTTGTTATGTATATAAAACGGAAAAGTATTGGAATCGTGTCAAATTTGACCGTCCGTTTTTTCGCAAATATACGCATTTGGAGACCTCCCGAATCATCCCAAAAAGCAATAGATGGGGAAAAATTAGCGCGCACGTGTGTGATGGCGTTCAATTTGTTTACTTTCTTTATTTTCTGTTCTGAGATATTGTTTAATATCTCAGAACAGAAAATAAATTGGTAGAGTTTAAGAAACGAAATGTTGCACTGTAGCTTGCGTATAAAGAGGCATTAATTAATACTATTACATTTTGGTTCTTAATTTAAGGTCGACAGGGCGAAGACATAAAAGGGGTCATGTGTCATATCTCTTAACGAATATTTTACTCGTTATTAGTGTTCAAAATTAAAATAATAATAATAATAATAATAAAACTTGTCTCTACCCTCAAACTAAGCTCTTTTGTCATTTTATAATAGTACAGTAAAACCCGTTGAGATGTTCTCGCCTAAGATGTTAGAATATATATGGGGACATGATTTAGTTCAACCACTTTGACGCTTAATAACTAACTTCTGTGTTAAACCATCTGACTCCGATTCTAACCACTCTGACCACAGAAATTATTAGGCTTTAAACAGGGTGAACAAATTCATGCCCCCCACACAGACTAACATCCACACATATAGAAAAAAACCTCGAATCTTTTGCTTAATTAACTCGAAATTTCAAGGTGTTCTGAGTCCAAAAATGTAAAAATTTGGGAGGGGTCATTTCTTTTGACCGAGCGCTACACTTTGTTATATATCCTCTGTTATATATAACAGAAAAGTAAAAATTATCGAATACATATTTATATATTGACTGTATCATTAGAGGAGTCTTTTAGCTTTGGAATAAAATGTTTCTACGTTCTATCTTTATTAGAACTCTATTTATTGAATCTTTTATTCTGTGGTCACGTGATGACAAGAATTTCTTGGTCTCTTTCGGTAACAAGTCCGTCCCTGGTCGGAGTCGGAGTTAGTCGGTAGACTTTTTTGCGACTCCACTGTCCTTCTTGCAACAGTTAACATAAGTGCGTGGCGCCATCTGTTATGAAATTTTAGTATTAAAACCCATTTAGTATTTTTAACTATTATAAAATGGTAACAGTTTACTTTTGAGGTTATGAACAAGTTTGATTTTTAAAAAATTGTAAATGCTAATAAGGAGTAAAATCGTCATCAAGTCCTACCCTACTCGACATATGACACACGTCCTTTTTTATCTCTTAATACACTCGACCTTTAAACATCAAAATTTAATAAGATGAATCTCCCTAATACTCAAACCTCTCTACAAAATTTCAGAAATTTTCGACAAAAAGCACAAAAGTTATTAAGCTCCAAAAAGAATGAACAAAATCGTGCACTCCCCACACACACTAACGTCACATACATACCGAAAACCCCGAAATTCTTTGCATTTCTCGACGTTTCTTGGTTCCGAGTCCGAAAATGTAAAAGTCTTCAGGGGTCATTTTCTGACCGATCGCCACACTTTCTTTCTTTTATATATAACAGTGCAGGGAAAGTAATAAAAGAAAAATGCAAGAAACAGTACTGTACTTTCAAAATAAACTGTATAAAATAANAAATCGTCATCAAGTCCTACCCTACTCGACATATGACACACGTCCTTTTTTATCTCTTAATACACTCGACCTTTAAACATCAAAATTTAATAAGATGAATCTCCCTAATACTCAAACCTCTCTACAAAATTTCAGAAATTTTCGACAAAAAGCACAAAAGTTATTAAGCTCCAAAAAGAATGAACAAAATCGTGCACTCCCCACACACACTAACGTCACATACATACCGAAAACCCCGAAATTCTTTGCATTTCTCGACGTTTCTTGGTTCCGAGTCCGAAAATGTAAAAGTCTTCAGGGGTC